AGGGGATGCGACGACCGAGAGGATTGCCCGAGAGCTCCCCATAAAATGGCTCGAGTAAACTTTTCGGTGTGTTTTTTTTTTTTTTTTTTTTTTTTACTTTATTATTCGACCATTCCGCGAGCTACCGCAACGTTTGCTCGTTTTCGGTTGTACGTAAAGGTATGCATGTACGTGCGGCCGCGACACGTACGTACGTAAAAGAAACGCAGCACGCGAACACGCGAGAAATACGCGATCGAAAGTAGAAACTTCTCGTTTTCAGACCGACGAAAGAGAGAAAGAGAGAGCGCACGGAGATTCTCCTCGAGAGAGTCCGATCGTTCGCGAATAATCTCGACGTGATTCGTGCGTGAAGAGTGCAAGCGTCGGGTATCGGTTGAAAGAGAGCGCGTCGAAACTCGGTTTTTTTCAAATTGCCCAACAAACTGTGCGAGTATTCGGGAAAGCGAATGAGAGAGCGGCAATAGCAAACTGTGTTTCCCCCCAGAAACGCGTTTATGCCATATGTACAAAGGCGCGGAGAAAACGCTTGAAAAAAACCGGCGGAACGAGATGCATCGGCACGCGCATCGGCAAGCGACTGTCATCCGTCATTACGCGTTCTACTCCATTTTTTCTTTTTTTTTTTTTTTTAAACCATGTTTTTTACCGCGCCGTTCTTCGACGATAGCTGCTGGTCCCTTTGAAAAGTTTCGATGTGCCGCGCGTGTGTGTGCGCGCGCGCGCGCGCGTCTACTCTGTCAATTACTGATAAAAACGACGACAGGTTGCGCAGCGCGAGCGACAGGTTAGGACCGAAACCCGGAACGGGGATAGCGGGAGGGATGTAAATTATCACGTCTGGTCGGACGATAAATAACGCGCGACCTCGTCCGAGCACCAAAAATGCGACGGCCGTTTCGTTCGGGGACTGGGTAGCGACGGAAAAAAAGGCCGATGATCCCTCTCACGGGGGAGGACACGGCGCGATCTACGCGCGTCATTGGTCTGACTGCAGAAATCAGCGTTGAACGCCTCTCTCTACATACACGTCCTGTTTGTGTAAAGTGATACCATTTTTTTTCTCTCACACCCGCCTATGAATCCCAACGCCTTTATTGAATGGCGGCGTGACGTTTGAGAAATTTCTCCCTTTAAACCGGCACACTTTTTTCAAAGTCGGTCTCTCTCTCTCTCTCTCTCCCCCCGATCTGTCGTTCCCCCTCGCCACCCGCACTCGATTCCTTCCCCCCGAGTTTATCTCAATCGCAATAGCGGTGTATTATGGCGTCGGGGTCTAAAACCAGATTCGCGGAGAGATATGATTACGGTGGAAACGAGGTTTTTTTCTTCGCCTGACGCGCGCGCGCGCTCACCCCGATGAAATATGATCACGGCAACCGACGTGGGGGTGATGTGGGGTGTGTTATAGTACGCGCCGTCGTTCAGCGTGCATAATGTCTCATAAAACGCGGCGGAGTTATTTTTCGGGGAAACAACGACCGACTCGCGCGCGCGCGTCTCTATCGCGTCCAGTTGAGAGAACAAAATATTTCAGCCATTTTCTTCTCTCTCTGCGTCTCTATCGAGAACCAAGATTTTCGCGATAAATGTAAGATAAGTGATTACGCGCGCGCGATATATACAATTTTTTTTCTCTGCCTTTGTACAGACGCGACAGTTTTTGTTTCGTTTTTTTTTTCTTTACAAAGTCCTTCCGTGTTGTCTGTTCTGATAAAATTTCGATCAGTGCGAAACTCGCGTTTCTCCGCTATCAGAAAACGTCGAGATTGCGCGGTAGCGATTGAGAACAAACGAAACACACATGTGTATCAAAAAATGCTCTCCTCTCCTGAAGAAAAGAAAAGAGAGAGAAAAGTTAGAAACGTGGAAGTTCGCGCGTTTTGCCGGTTTTCTCGACACACGATTGCCCGTAAGTGATTTTATTTGAAAATTTCGCGCGGGGAAAAGGGGAGGAGACGCTATTTTTCTGGATATGTTTCCGAGTCAGCCACCGAGAGAGAGAGACTTTGCAATGTTCTCTTTATGGCGTCGAAAAATCTATTTACTGTTCGCCTCGCTCGCTTTCGGTTGTCGTGCCGAGGTCGAGCCGTGGAGAATCCATTTTGCAGCGTGACGTAGAAAAGCGGGACGTTGACATACCGCGCGACCGAGAGACCGATAGCGGAAGAGAGAACGATAACCGGGAGGTGAGGAGAGAAAAAGCTAGAAAGGGAGAACGAAAGAGCGGGTTGTGTGTGCGTGTGTACGCGCATTATATAAAAGGTAGTGGCGCGCATACACCGCGCTACGACGCGAGCCGGAAGTGACGCGTGATTTGAAAATATTCGCTGCCTACGTCATCGCGAATTACCAACCGGATCCCGTCCCGGTAACCGGGACCGCAGCCGCCGACGGCATTTTTCACAACGTCGCCCTACGCACACACACACACACACATATATGTCCTCCGTCGCGTTATCTGTGCGCGAGAGAACGGAGCAAAATGCGGAGGAAAATGCGAACGATTCCGCCGAAACCCGAAGGAAGAAAAAGACGAGAAGAAAAAGACGAGAAAAAAAAAACGAGACGGACGAGAGAAAAAAACGCGATCTCGATGGCTACGCTCGCGCATCTTGTCTGCGAAGAAAGCGCCGCGCCTCCCCGCACGCTTTCCATCCCCGCGAGAATGTCGCCGCACGGACAGGCGAGCCTCCGAGGAAATCTTCGCAGTCGACCCGAGCTGTTTCCTCTTCCACGAGTTAGACAGGACGGACGTGGACGGATCTGCATTAACTATGGATTTCACCCATCCCTCTATAGCCCCATCGCGCGGAACCCACCTCTCTGCCTCGATTTGCTTCGCATCCCGCCCGTCTTTCTTTCGCCTTTCTCGCGCGACGGGTTCTTTCCTCTTTTATTTTCTCATTGTCACTCTCTCCTTTCACTGTCGCTGACGCGGGGGAAACGAGTGCCAATTTTCCGTACTCCGAACCGATGGAAAGCGAACGAGAGGCGGCATTGCGCGCGAATTAAAAAACAAGAAGAACAAAGAGAGGAAGGGAGAGAGAGAGAGAGAGAGACGGAGCGGATTTCCCTTGCGTGTTACCTGAATGCGGCGCTCGCTCGCGCGCGCCTGTCGGGGAGAATTGCGGAAAACGGTGCCATTGAATTCAAATCGGCATCTCCATTGGGGAAAATGATTCGTTCCGCGCTGATCGCGCGACTACCTCTCGTCATTCGTTACCTAACTCTGGTTTCGCTGTGTTGCCAGTTGTTTCTGAAAGCAATGATTTTTCGAGACGCGCCGATCGTTAATTTCAATCGCGGCGGAGCTTTCCGCAAAATGCATAGCGACGCGCGTTGATTTTTTTTTTTTATTTTTTATTTTTTTATTACCTGTTTACGCCGCATTTGATCCCGACGGGCAACGTTTTATCGCAGAATATCGCTGAAACCTACTCTCTCGCAAAGCATCCCAAATCCGTCGAGAGCTTTCCGGACAGCCGAATTAGGATTACGTCGCAACGTAATTAATTGACTGAAATGCCGGGGATGTATCATCGTCATTACGGAGTCAGCGCAAAGCTCGCCGGATTACCGACTGCGCGGCGACAGATTACCGCGTAATGATCGCGCAGCCGGCATTTGCGACCGATCGTTTCGGCCCTAACGTTTATTATGAAAACGCCATGGTGTTCGCGAATTCGGTTCGCGACCTTTCGTCGCTCGTGAGATTCGGGCTCGCGAGGCGTCGCCTCGTCGGTCAATCGGTCTTAGAGTCCGTAGAGAGGACGCACTCCGGTGCGTCTCGCCGATCGTCGTGCTCGCGACGACGATTTTCCGCTTCACTTCCGTGAAGAACGAGAGCCCCGGCGAGAAATTAAAGTCTCTTTTTGTTTTTTTTTGTTTTTTTTTTTCAATCGTCTCTTTTTTAATCGCGACGAACATCTTCGGTTGCTCTTTCGTCCATTTTTTCGCAGCTGACGCATGTTCGCACGCACGCACGCAATTTCGCAGTTGCGATGCGTCATTTAACCGACCGCAGGCCGCTCCCTCCACGCGAATCACGCGTGTTATTGCGCCCGTCTCACCTCGACGGACGCGAGTCCGGGTTTGTTTCGACTCCAGGGAGCGGCGGTGTCACGCTGACGTTTGTTTTTCCTTCCACACTCGCGAGACAGTTCTTTTCCGTTCTCGAGTATTACGTACACGTCGAATAAGAGAACGAATTGCGCGCGTTACGTATATCATTCAGAGTTCTTCTTTTTCTCTTTGGTTTTACTTCAAAACCGCGCACAAGTGCGTCGTATACAAAAAAAAAACGAGAGTCTCTCTGCGCGCGCTTACAACGAAATTACGACCACGGCCGATCTCGATCGCGAGGCGATCGCGCGTGCGAGAGATCGAGTCGTATTTGCGTAATAAAAACAAAACTGCGCGTCGTAAAAGAACAAAAAAAAAAAAAAAAAAAACCAACCGAAAACTTTTACAAGCGTCGCGAAGAACGACAAGTTTTTTTGCGCGCGTCATCAATCGAGACCGACAGCGGAGCGCGCGTCATAGCTAATAAGTAAACCAGTAATAAATTACCCGGGGAAGAGATCCCCGGGACGTTCGTTCGCGCGCGGAAGGATTATCTCGTCGCGTTTAAATAACGCGCGGCGTACGCTCGGGCGTATCGGCGCTTTCGATCTGTTGGGTGTTTCGTTCGCTCGCGCGACGCATGCGACTCGACTCTCTTTTATACGCGCGATCGAACGCGCGAGATAAAACGCGCGCCGTGGAAAAGTGGCTCGCGTCGTCCGCTCCGCTCTCTCTCGTGTAGATTTTTCGAGAGTCCCCGGGCACACAAGAGAGAGAGCACAAAGCGGCGGTGTCACATTGTCCTTGGAAAAATGTCCATCCAATCGCGCGCGTTCCAAATTTCGGGAACACATCGTCCATCCTCGCGCGCGCGCGCGCGAGAGAGATTTAAACACTAGGCATTGCTCCGTTTTTGGATTTTTTTTTTTACTCACCGGTATTCTGCGCGATAATCGGGTCAATCGCCAGCAACACGACGAGGAAGATAGGAGTCATATTGACCACCTTCTTTCCCGTCTTTCCTTTCCGGTCACCCGTGATCACTGCGCACTCAACACCACCGTCGCAGCGTGCCACCTATGAAAAGATACAAAACCACCTTCGTCAAAAACATACCACCTTCATCACTGAGGGGAGAGAGCAGGACGACGGGGGGGTAAACACGTCCTCGTTTTTTTTTTGTTTTCCTGAACGAAGACGTCGCAGGCGTGGCGCCGCAGGGCAAAGGTCGCTGTGACTCCTTTCCCTCGTCGCACACACACGCACGCACACAACACACACACGTACGTACGTACGTACGCACAAACACAAAAAACACACAGATGACAAAGAGATTTGTTTCGGGGTGTAGAAGAACCTTGAAATTCGTTGACTTCTCGAGCAGTACGACTGGGCGCACAAACAATCGCGCTGAGAATCAGCGCGACGCTTCCGCTTGGTTGTTGGTCAGATTAAATGGAGGAAGCGTAACGAGGGGTTTTGTGAGCTACGCGTAAAAAAATACTTGTCGTTTTCTGCGATGCGTTGGCGCGATAAAACTGTACAAAACGACACGAGCTAGAGCGTTCTATTCAGCTAGTCATCGAGGGGGAAGGAAAAGTATCGACACACGCCATTTAACCACTCTCGCTCGCTCTCGCTCTGTTTTCTCTTTCGCGGATGAGAAATATTCCCGCGGATGAATCGAAAACGCGGTCGTGGGTGCGTGGGCGAGTCGCTGACGTTAGGAAATAAAGAAGCGCGCGTGTCCCTTTGAGCCGGTCGCTGACATCGGTATAATATAATGGTCGCGCGTACTGTGCCACTTAAGTCGTGACGATCTCACGGTGCGAGATCTATTTACATTCTTCCGCCGTGTTCCGGCTCCTGTTCCGCCCGTCGGGTTAATGGAAGGATCAATTTTGGAAAGGATGTCACACACACTCTCTCTCTCTTTCTCTTGCTCTCTCTAACTGGCCCCCGAAAGGCGGACGTCGCAACGTATTTCCCAGGAGATAGAAGATAGTTCCCCTATATTTTCCCTCCCGACGTTCTCTCTCTTCTTCCTCTTTTGCGAGCTTCTTCTCCCGAGCTTCTTCTGCCGAGTCACCTCCACGATCCGTGTCCCACTTCTTTTTCGATGCCAAACGACGACAGGCACTAACGAGAGAGAGAGAGATACACACGCGGGTGTTTAATTCGAGTGCGCGAACGATTATCTGACGCCTTGACTTCCTCCTCCTCCTCCTCCTCCTCTTCTTCTTCTTCTTCTTCTTCTTCTTCTTTTTCTTCTTCTTCTTCGTCGTTCCCAACGCTTGACTTTCAGATATTCCACATTCTTGACCGCGGGGGAGGGGGGAAGGGAGGATTTATCTAGTTGGCGATTATCTCGACTCTTTCTTCCTGTGATTCCACGACCATCCCATATTTTCGCGCGCCCCACGCTCCAAGCCGAGTGCCCTCACGACAAAGCCTCCGCTTTGTCGCGCGAGACGTTGACCCTGGACACGGCGCCGACCACGGCTTTCCGGCTCGCGTTACATCCTCCACGTAACTGGCTGTAATTGTTCTTCTCTGCTTTCCCGCAGTTTCCACCGCGCGGCGAGACTTTTCATTTTCCACCCGATGCTCCCGGTCTTCGCGTTATATCTCCTCTATCTCTTTGATTCTCCGCCGAAGAAGAAAATGTATGACGTAACTCCGCTCCGAGGTTGAAAAGTCCGTCGTTGGTATCGCTCGCTTTTGACGAAACCGCGACGACGATGATGCACCGCGACGTCGTGTTACTTGTGTTTTTTTTTTCTCTCGCTCAGAACAATGGCCCCTCTGCGGTCGGTAAACGACACGGTATAAATGTGGGAAAGCGACTCTCTTCAACTTCTACCCTCCGACAAAAAAAACCCGAGCGATTCGTCCTGCTTAGCGATTGAGCGGAGAGACGGGCGGGAGGAGAATTGTTTCGGGAGAAAAAAACGGGCTGCGATTAATAGTGGCTCGCGTGTTTTTCTTATTTGTACGGCAGTTTTCACACAACCCCGGTGGCGCATTGCACGCGCGATCACATACGAGAGGGATGTGCTCTTTCAAATCTTGTTCCGTTTTGCTATCTCCCTCGCCGCACGCGACGTTACGTTGTTCCTTCCGCACGAGTCTTGTGTTTTCCGCTGCATTTGCGCGTCTTCCGCCGCGTTTCTCTCGCTGCACTTTTCTCTATCTACCTCTTGTCTCCGACAACGCCACACTCGACGTGAGACTCGACGCGACGACGAGTCAATCCGATCTCTCGAATTCGTTCCCGTTTGCTGCCTTTCTCATTCCTCGTCGCGCGCGACGTTTCCGCACAACGACGTCTTCGCGTATTCCCTTTCTGAGCGCAGCAGCAATTGAAATAAGCGCCGTGTGCTTCTCGCGAATCTCAAAACTAGGAGAGTCAGAGTTTTTCCAATTTCCTTCGGTAACGCGGTTTCACGGATTTTGTTTGTTTGTTTGTTTGTTTGTTTTTTTTTTTTTTCAGAGAACGGACCGCGAGTCAACGAACGCGAGCCACTCTATCGCGTACTACTCGCGACTCAATTATTACAAATTATTCCGCGACGAGCGTACGCGATCCCGCGTTAAAGGTAGTTTTCTGAACGCGCGCTGCGGCCTGACTGACTCACCCCCATGCCCCCTGACGGCACCCCCCTCCCCGTTAGTCCACCGCCGACATTCCTGACGCAGGCGCGCCGCCCCTCTCAGCGTCGGAATCGCCGTACATAGACGTACGAATTCGCGCCAGACCAGATTTTACAATGATCAGGAGAGATACATCTGGTTGTGCTGTACCTTTTCTTTTCTTGTCGTTTTTTCTCGAACTGACAATGTCGAGAGAGCTTGGAGCGACGAGATGCGTTCGGAAAACGAACCTGGTTGGCCTTGACAATTTTTCTCAACGGCCTCCACAACGGACGTTTTTTTCAGCGAAAGTATTTTCTTACGATTATTAACGTTCTTCGTTAAACCGAGGCGATGTGTGAAAAATGACTTTTCCACCCTCCCGAGGAGCGGATTATTACAAGCTCCATCTCAGAGAGAAACGCGCCGCTCTCTCTTCGAAACTGATGGCAAATCATATTTTCCGCGAATCGTTAGCGGCATTGCGTTATTGCGAAAGTGAGAAACAGAGGGAGCGCGATCGGAGGCAGAAACGGAGGAAGATAGTCGCGCGAGTCAGGTAGGGGGTTGGTTTCGGCGTTGGTTTAAAAGCGACGCATGCGTCTCTCCCGCGTAAGGGGACGTCCGGGGTGAGCTGCCGTACTCCGGCCGACGTATCGCAGTTTCTGGCTTGATGTTTGTCCGCGTGGTACTCCCAGGGATGGCTGTGCTCGTGGCAACCCACGAGGGTGCTCGCGCGAACTGAAGGGAGTTTTCGCGCGAACGAGACGGACTGCAGACAAAAGGAACAGACAGAGATTGAGAGAAAGAGCGGGAAAGAGAAGAGAGAGAAAGAGAGAGAGAGAGAGAGAGAGGGATGAATAAGAGGAGGGAAATGGGAATGATCGACATTATCGATGCACAACGGCGAGATGACGACGATCTGCCACGCTTGCGCCTTCTCTCATCGAAAAATATCTACCCGGATCTTTCCTTTCTTTTGTTCGACACACTACGGACACACTCTTCGTCGTGCGGTCTCTCTCACGAGACCCCTGGGAGTCTGCGTGGGAGACGAACTCGATGGGGACCGATCGTTTTTTTCAACAGGTAAGTGGCCGTGACGCGTCTACATATGTCAGTGTGTATATCTGTCCACGTGTGTGCGGACGAATCGAAGTCCCCCGATTTGATGAAAATATTATGAGAGGATTTTGTCACGCAATTTCACTCCCGAGTGACAACAACAGCAAAATTTAACGCGTGAGGGAGGTGATTAAATGTGATTACGCTAAGGAAACTGTGTGTGCGTTGTTGTTTCACGATCGCACACACACACACACACACAATTTTCCCCATCAATTGTTAACAATCTCCGAAAAAAGCTATTGCGTTCTCAAAAGAGAACTGATTGACACGCAGTTGAAAACAATCAGAAAAAAATTAACGCCTGCGATAAACTTGGGAGGATGCAACAACGGTCATTTAATCGGAAACTCGCGTTTGCATAGTCGCGTTCAACTGCGAGAAAGTCTGTGTAAATAAACTCGTAAAATTGGCTAAAAATTTCCGACTATCGAGAAAGAAGCTGCACCGAGCGCGATTAATTATTCGCGGTAATTGGTCAATGTTTACGACATCGCCGCGGAAGTAATTTCACCTCCTTCCTTTATATGTATATTTCGCGCGTTTCCCCTTTACCGCCGTAGAGCAGAGCCCTACCCTCAACGCCACCCTCTTGTCATTTCCTCGTCGCCACCCCCATCGAACGCTACCCCAGTCATACTGACTCACTTCCTCAATGGATGCGCATTTGCAAATGCGTCAGCTCGGCACGCGACTCTTTTGCATGTACCTACACACATCGAATTCTTCAAACACGCTTTATAAAAATGTGTCGGGCGTCAGGGAACACACGCACACACACACACACACACACGCCGTTATAATCTGGCGTTGAATAAAAGTCTCGATAAGGACTAAAAAAAAAAACTCTTCGATAACATGCACGCGGGAGATGTGCAATAATTATATATATATTTCAATATATAAATAAACAAATATATCTTTATGTCAAAGAATAAAATTTATACATTTTATTTATATATTGAAATAAATTAATCGTCCCGGATGAACTTTCAAATTGAAATCAGTTCAGAACTTTCAAACGTATTGATTCTCGCGCGTGTAAAAATACATTGCCTCTGTACATTGACCGCGAGCTACTCGCTAAACTTTGATAAGCTCGTTGATAAAGATAAGTGTAAGTTGAAGGGAGTCGAAATTAGAGTCTCTGTCGAAAACTCTAATCTGTGAAATTGACGCGAACCTTTTAAACGTGACGAGGTATCTAAGTCAATATATTTTTAAATGGCGAACATCAATATAACTGTGTCTTCGCGCGGAGTTAGGTCGCGCAGAGTTTACATAATAGAAATGTCAAAGTCAAATCGAGTGACTATCGCGCTCACAATATGCTACACATTATACGTATATACATATACATACATAGTAATCGCTATTACGGCACAGTCGACCTGACCATTAGTGCTGGTGTCATTAGAGCCGCTGCGAATGCGAAACAATTACACACTCATCGCGTAATTCATGTTTGATGATTACGCTCGGAATATATTATATGAACGATAAAATGCGCTGAAAATATTTATTAAGCGCGCGCGCGCTCGGATCTTCTCTTTCGCCTATGTAAGAACTTTACTCATAAATCGAACGCCGTTTAAAATTGCAAATAAAGTCGGAGACGACATTAAAGTGAGTGTCGAGAGCTTAATGCAGAAATATGCGCGAAAAGCTCGCTCGCTCGCTCGCTCGCTCTCGAACACGCCGGAAGAGAAAGAAATAGAAAAACGCGTTTCTCTTTCTTCTCGCGCCGACAAGTCGGGGAAATGCGCTTGCCGTGACTCGCTGTTCTCGGTGATAATAAAAAAAAAAAAAATTCCAAGATGGGCATAACTTAATTTAATACCGTGGCCAGCGCGCCGTTGCTCCATGATAAATCCTACGGCCGCTTCATTCTCTCGTCTCGCCCGCTACCTGTTCCGGCTCTTTCTGTCCATTCTGAAATCTTTCCCTCTCCCCACGTTCTTTCCTCGTTCCCGAACAAAAGATAACAACCGGAATGAGAGTAGCCGGAACACGGGCCGGTCGAGCGCGGATCTTAATTCAAAGGCAAGAAGAGAGACCGCGCGAAAACGAGAACCGCGGAAAGTAACTCAGTCTCTCCCCACCCGAAAAAGAGGGTGAAAAGATAAAAATCGTCGGCAATTGTCGCGTCACGTTCGTAATTAACTTCTCAGCGGATTCAATCACGATCGACATAAAAATTCAGCTTTCTGCGATCGGAAAATATCAAATACTACACATTAGATAATCTCTCGATACGCGGAATCAAATGTAAAATCGTGGTACGATTCTGCCGCAATTCTTCCGAAACTGAAGTGACTGTCAATTAACGTCGTATCATTGAGACCATTTTAACTTGGCTCATAAACAAGCAAAACAATACCTAAAAATAAGATTCGCTCAGAAATTCAAAATCTTATCATCTTTAGCAAACATCTTTTTTGCAACCAATTTACCAGAGCAATATTTTCATAATTTGTTCTTTAAAAAACCTTTTGACCTGTTTAACAATATTTATTCGATTTCAAAATTCAAGTTGTCGGAAAAAAACAGGGACATTCTTGACAGATGATAAAAATTTAAATTACAATTGATTTTATGTTACACGACGTTGTTGTAACAATAAGCGAATAGTGTTCGTAAAAAATCAAACGACGACGAATAATTTATGGAAAAATTTGTTTACAGTGATAATTTTTCACGTATCATTCGTTTCTCTCGGTTCTACCTCGACTCTCTCTGCTCGAGACGCTAATGTTGTCTCATTACTCGAAATTCCTCGAACTTTTTTCTCGCTACTCGCGCGTTCTTTTCGCGTTTGTTTGCGCTCGCTCGCTCGCTTGTTCGCTCGCTCGCTAACGCAAAGCGGACGTCAACGATGCTTCTTCCGCGAATCTTTTCCCCATTAACACCGTATTAACGTCGGGACGTCTCGGCTTCTCGCAAAAACAATCTGTAAAAAGACAAAAGAACGCAGACGGGGAAGAGGGGAGGAGGGGACGCTCCGGTATAACAGAGGAGAAAGCTTGCGGAACAATCGTACACCCGTGCACATTCCGCTGACTTATGAATAAACATTTTCCGAAGGCACCCGGCGGAAAATTACTCCCGGAAATACCTCGACTTTCGTCTTATACCTTCTCATCAGGAAACCCACCCTCCGAGCGTGTACGAGTGTTTTCCCTCCTGCAAAGCTTGATAATCGAGCTTAAGAGACCTTCTGAATTTTTCCCCAACAAAACGCAATTGAGAGATCAGAATTATTATTTTGTCTCTACTTGTTTTTTCACACCTTAAGCCATTTTCTACTAATACGTTTTTTCACCCGTACATTGAAAAAAAAAAAAAAAAACAACAATGTTTCACGTAAAAACAAATTGAAAAAAAGATGTAAGAAATTAGAAGATAAAAAAAAAAATATCTGTGAAAGATGAAGCGCGCATCCTGTGATCCGGAAAAAAAGTTTTATTAGCTACAATCGCGATGAAAAAGCACCGTAAAATATTCCGCCATTGGCGGTTTAACGGGTTGTGAAAACTGTTTTTCGCGATTTTAAATGGTCATGCATTTATCAGTGTTCGATAATTAGTTCGCCATTACGTTGGTAAATACCAGGAGATATTGCCATTTTCTGCAAGCGGCGCAAAATCGTTTCGCGCGCGCAAAACCAATATGCTGAAGCGCGCGAATTTATATCGAATCGATGCAATCCCACACGCCATCCTTTCCCTTTTTAAAGTTAACCGGATATGAAGGTGGCCGGCGCTTTTGTGACAAAACGTTGAAATTAACGTCTCTTCTCTGTATTTTACAACAGTCCGTGAAACTAAATTATTTCTATTGCTAGAGGAGAGTTAATGTTAAAAATTACATTCGTAATACGTTTTTTTGTTTTGTTTTAAATGTTATTTCATTTAAAGTTAACGGCGGTCGAGTAAATACAATATAGCCGGCGATATGACTGTAATTCTCTTTAGCGCGCACAGAGACCGTATTTTATATCCGAGCGAGGGAGAATAGAGATTTATGCAATAAAAAATTTCTGACAAAATGTGTAACGCGATAAGTGCGATGCAATCGGCTATTGCATTTTGACAGACATTTCAATAGATTTTCTCGCGATATTGATTGTTCTTATCCTCGACTGTTGACAATTGAGAAGAAATGACATTGACAATTTGCAACATTACAACAACAACATAACGTCGCGCAAGTTTTCAGACAGTTTCGCGTTATAAAACCATATTGCTTTTAGCTAGCAAAGTTTGACTTAAACTTTTATATCGCAATCGGATGCGCAGAAAAAAAGAAACGTGAAATATCACTCGTCTCGACGCGCATTTTTCCTCTCTTTACCCGCATCACCTTCCGGCTTTTCTTTCTTAACCGCTAATGGTCTCGATCACGAGAGCAGTTAAAAATCCTGATACAAGACTCACGGAAGTCCGTTTCGATTGCGAGGAAACGCATCGGGAGAAAAAGTACGAGGATCTTCGAGATGGCGGAGCCATTACATCTCGAGTTGAAAAACTGCTCGAAAAGGTGTTTGCTTTTCTTTTTTTTTTTTTTTAAAGAGAAATTTCAAGGCTTACCGTAATAATAGAAAAGAATTCTGAGATGTACCGGCAAATGTTTGTTTCGTAAAGTCACGTCGTCGTCGAGAAGCATTATCACGCACAGCGGAAACGTCCTAGCGCTCGCAGGAACGATCCGTCAGAACGTCGAGGCATTGATACCGACTAATGATGCTTTCTGCACGAGTTTTCATAGAGAGAGTTCGATCTCTTTCTCCTCTCCGGTCCCGCCCGCGCCGTCTCGTTGACGCGAATCAAAGAAAAGCTGATTTCACGAAGTACATCGGACGGAGGGAAAGACTCTGGATGCTGTAACGATCCTTCTTCTTGCGGACGGTACTTAGAAACGCGCCGCGCCGCATCGAAGACGATAGAGACGACGACGACGACGAC